ACGCAGTGCCGCCGGGACAGCAGCCTGGGGGGGCGACAGTACAATCAGCGTGTCAGGATTGATGGGCAAGAGTAAGAGGTGCGTGATGGAATGCCCCCTCGCTCAGTCCCCGTCGAACTCACCAACGAGGATGACTCCTGCAGCCAGATGGGGGGGGAGCCTGAAGACGCGCGACATTATCAAGGCCATACCGGGCATGATTGAAAATTGGGCGCACCATCCCAGGACAACGGCTCGTTTGCTTCTTCCGATGCGTGCAAAATCGTCCATGGAGAGTGTCATGCCCATCAGGACCATCACAGCCGAGAGGGCGCGTGTGATAAAACCCTCGCTCAAGCCGGCGTACAGCTGGGGCCGCGTCACGCCCAGAAGGCCCGCCAGCAGCACGTACGCAGGGAAATATAAGCTCTTGGCCGCTGCCAGGATGGTGGCCTTTCTTCTCTTGCTGTGCTCCCCATCTCGAGTGGACCACAGATGGGTGCAAGCTGCGGGCTGCAGGGAGGTATAAGCGTATACTGGGAAGCCACAACTTCTCTGTGGAGGGACGGCGACGGAGGGCCTTATAACCGGAGCTTCCACCAGCCTCAAAATTGGACGCGGGAGATAAGTTGACCGAAAACCGTACGTCGAAGGCGGTAAAAGGAAAAAGACGGCAGGTAGCATCACTCCTAGTAGGAGGGGCCACGGCCGTCGTGACCTCCCCCCAGGCCCCATGGAGGTGCCACACAGAGCCAGAGTCCAGCTGGAAAAGACAAAGGAAACAGTGGAAAAGCGCTCTGATTACTTGACACGACTAGCGAGCGAGTAAGTAATTGGAAAGAATGAGAGCTCCGGGCACCTTGAGGCTATTTTCGACCGCCCCCCGCTGCTTCAAGCGTTCATGGCTTGAGGGGCTTCTAGCCGGAAGTCTCGTTCGTTCCACGCCCCGCATTGAGAGGGGCTATACCCACGCTTTCCGATCCTGTTCTCTCATGCACAATCACAAAATTGGCAGATTGCCGTTGCACCTTCCATCCATGCTGTCGCCGCGGTGATATATCACAGATCGTGGAGGGGCGCTCTATCATTAGCCGACACAACCCCCTCTCCACTTCGGAGGGCAACAACAATAGCATTGACCGGGTGATAAACAGGCTCGCGTTGACCGGGGTACACGATCCAAATGAGGTTTGGGCATGCATCGTACGTCTGTGGAGGGTCCTTACAACGCAATCACGATTTCGTCCGGCTCTTGCCTCTTATCTAATGTCTCCCTCGCAACCCCTATGGCTAGGTCGGCCGTGTTGCCTCATCAAAGACGGATACCCTGTGGCCTTGTCGTACTATTCTGGACTTGGTGTGCTTGGGAAACGTTGCAGGTGCATGGATGGTGCGATATCCGGCTGGGAGTGAGACAGAGGCATGCATCCCACGAGCCACGGCTCGCGTCCTTCCCCCCCCCTCCGAGCTCGACAGCCTGGGCCTTCCCCTCCTGGCGGCGCAGGAGAAGGGATAAAAATCTTGGGTACTCGCTGCTTGAAGGCGGTGGGAAGCCCTCGACTAGTGTTCTGTTCGCAGAGGCCGGCATTGAGAGTAATGGAGAGGGCCGGGGGGGCGTGGGTAAGAACCGCACGAGCAGGACAAGCGGCGGCCACAGCTCCCACCACGGAAGGCACAGGGGGGAGTCGCGAAGGCAGGGTGGTGCACGCAAGAGTGGAAGACATGTGAGGCGTGGGTATGCCCGGCAAGAACCATGTCCTACGGGATCGCCATTGGGAGGCGACGAGGACGTTGTACATATCGGAAGAGGGGGCCCTCGTGGCAGCGGGAGGCACGGGGGGGGGGGCGGGGGCCGTGAGCATGGGGCCTCGTCTATC